GGCTAGAGAATATATCCAGTTACTAAATCGATCACAAAATTACAACTAACCGGCAATAATTACGTAATATATATATATCATTTGCTTATCTAACTTCAAGATTTAGGGGTTTAAGAATTAGTTTAACCCGTAAGGGTTTCATAAAATATTGGATTACCAATCTGCCGGAGAGATTGATATTTCGGCCACTGATATGATCGGGCGAACCTTGTCAGTAATTTATACAACGTTAAAATGTTGTCTTGTAGTGTTCTTGGGCCTCAAAGACCTCAAACGTATCGTTAATTTTCCAGATAACAATTTCTTTCCCTGTTGCTGTTTTCTTCGCTTTTCAGCGATCGGCCGGTTCTACTTCAGTCGCATTGTTTCCCAGGAGAAGTTATTGTGATCTTGTGCAGCACCAGTCTACAAATGGTGACGTCTAGGATCTTAAATTGCCCCGATTTTTAACAGTTCGCACGCTTCCTTCAGAAAGTGCAAATTAATTAAAAGCGACTGATGATGAATTCATAAGTACATTTGTTTTCAGTAAACATGTAAGGCTGTTTATTATTTTATAAATAAATTTTCCACGTTAACCACGTAGTGACGGACAGTGGAAGTGCTTTTACACAGGCTAGGAATATCATGTTTTAATTATCCTGTTTGTGAGAAATCGTGAGAAGTTGAGTTAAGTCAATAGGTTTGACAAGAAAAAGTTGGCAGTTCTTCCGATGTGAGTACAGGATTAAGTTATTAAATGTAAATATCTAAATATCGTCATTGTTTTTTAAGTTGTCTCGTCTCTGTTGAGGTTAGGTGATCGTGCAAACAGTATATAATTATGTAAACAGTCCAAGAATTATTTTTTTATGAAATCTCCATTTATGCGTCGCATTTCATGCCCGTTGATCACACAGCTAAAATCACTGAGCTAAAATCGCTTCTACGCAATTCTAACATAAAAAGCCAAGAGAATCATGTGGCTTTCGTTATGTATGGCGACGTAGTAACTTCAAATATAATCTGCCATCAGGCGTTCTTTAATTTACATATATTTTTTCGCGGCTTATTTTTTATTGTATTTTTAAGTCTCTCCCAAACTGCCGCGAAAAATAAGACCGCCTGCTTTCAAGAATTCCAAGGCAATTATTGCAACTTCCGAAAACAATCGTGATATAAACCGGCCTTAATTTACTGGGCCACGTGCGAATTCATGCAATGTACCCTTCTCGGTGATTAGATTCCCTTAATTTCTCATCACCTGACGGCACAGTGTTTATACTGTAAGGAGAACCGAAAGTGTAAATCGCTTTTGAAAAAGGTAGTCTGTGATGTCATCATGGCAATTGTTCCTTGTTTCTCAGAGATGATGTAACCATCATCAATGCAAATGGTACTCCATGCTGAATTTTCGTGTTATAGATAAGTAAACAAAGTCGGGAAACTCTTTTCACTTTAAACTAGCTCAGTACGTTTGTCAGCGGTTCAGGGTAGAAGTTAGAGCAAGAATGGCAGTGTTTCGCTTGTTCGTTTTGTTGGCTTTCGTATTTTTCTTGGGTTCATCCGTTACGCCGCAGAACAAATCTTCAAACCGGGTAATCACAATAGTAAACCTTTTGTAATTATACACAGCAATGTCATTTGACAATTTGGCAAATTAGACTGAGTAGAGGTGTTCATTTTGTCTCATGCAAAGTTTCCCTCCATTTGACTAGAACCTAAAATTGCTAGTTCTGTACTTCACTAGAAGGGTTTAACATCTTATATCCGAAATATTTTTAGAGTACCGGCGCCACAAACAAACCAAACTGCTGTGCGCTGCAAGTTGGATGCAGTAAAGATGGTAAGTCAAAATTATCAAATAATTATTGGTCATTTATTTAGATGTTGCGAAACATCTAAATAAATATTGTAAGATAATATCTATCTCATGTTTCAATAGGAAAAGATGGAAAAGATGGACAAAACGGTGAGTTTCAATCAACAATAGTTTGTTATTTTATCGTTAAAAGCCTTCCATTCGTATTAATCAGGGATTAGTTTGTTTATCGATAATCAAATTACGATTTGCTTTCCACACAGGAAAAGATGGACGAGATGGAATAAACGGTGATGTAATGATTTTTGAAGTACATCTCAAGCGTAATATGCAGTCTAATATATTTGCTTGCTTGCGAAATGAAAACAGAATCATTACCTCCTTATGATTAAAATCATTTCCGTCTGACCAGAAGAAAAGAAACCAAACAGATAATGACAATTACAATGTCACAGAAAAGTCAACAAATTGACGAATCAAACGAAACGAAATTATAGGAATTTTAATTGTTGACCATTGTTGGCCAAACAGATTTTAACCTCTGCGTCTAGAAGTATTCTAGTAAATGCTATTAAAAAGGTAAGTAGTGCAACTGGAAAAAATCTGACGGAGAGAAAAGAGTGCGCGATCTAAGACATATCAGTGAAATTGCTTTAAGTGATCTTCTATGTTGTGTTTACTACAAACCAGCTGACAAACTCTAAATTTCTAAAACAGGACGCGACGGACGCGATGGGAAAATTGGAGCAAAGGTTAGTAACGTTTCTGGCTCAAATGCGCCTTTATTGTTATATCGGAGACAAAGAATATATGCAACAGACCAAAACATATAAGATTAATAATTTGATTGTATGGTACTTCCATTCACTTTAACACATCACGCATAGACAGTTTGTTACCATGGTCACTAAGTGATATTTTTTCCAGGGTGATAAAGGTGACACAGGGTTGAGGGGACTGGATGGAAATGGTGGCGTCAAGGTGAACTGTACTTGTAACTTAAAACTTATCCTTTGTCAGTTTAATCCATGGCCGAGAGTAAATTGATAATTCATTAAGGAGTTAAACATACAGTTCTTTTCGAAAAAAGTTTTGCGTATTTAACAAAGTTAAGACTAGTGTTTTCCTAACAAACGTTTGTTTTGTTAAACAGTTTTCAGATCGTAACATTGTTACTTTAAAAAGAAATCAGTTTTAATGGTTTTGATCAAAAAGGAAAGACTTCCATAAAAATTTGATGAATAGAGGTTATCGCAGGGCAGTAAAGATAATATCTCAAAGTACCTTATTAAGTTTATACTGAATTTCCAAGCGTTTTTACCATTAAAAAAGAAACGTTAATTTTATTGTAATACTGTCTCTTTTAGGGCGAAAAAGGAGAACCTGGGCTAACAGGAAAGGATGGTAATTTTAGTACAAAAGTAAGTTCCACTGTCCCTTACCTTAATCAACACCTGGACTAAGAGGAAAAGATGGTAATTTCAGTACAAAAGTAAACCAAATTGTCCCTTAGATTAAAACTAAGACTAAGAGGAAAGGATGGTAATTTAAGAAAAAAAGGAAGTTCCAATGTCCCTTAGATTAGAACCAAGACTAAGAGGAAAGGATAACAATTTTAGTGCAAAAGTAAGTTCCATTGTCCCTTAGTTTACAATCACTGACTAAGAGGAAAGGATGGTAATTTTAGTACAAAAGTAAATTCCATTGTCCCTTAGTTTAGAACCAGGACTAAGAGGAATGGATGGTAATTTTAGTACAAAAGTAAGTTCCATTATCCCTTAGTTCAGAACCAGGACTAAGAGGAAAGGATGGTAATTTTAGTACAAAAGGAAGTTCCATTTTTTCCTAGTTTAGAACCGAGACTAAGAGGAATGGATGGTAATTTTAGTACAAAAATAATTTCTATAATCCCTTAGTTTAGAACTAGGACTAACAGGAAAGGATGGTAATTTTAGTGCAAAAGTAAGCTCTATTGTCCCTAAGCTTAGAACTAGGACTAAGAGGAGAGGATGGTAATTTTAGAAAAAAAAAGTAAGTTCCGTTATCCCTTAGTTTAGAACTAGGACTTAGAGGAAAGGATGGTGATTTTAGTGCAAAAGTAATTTTCATCACCCCTTAGTTTAGAACTAGGACTAAGAGGAAAGGATGGTAATTTTAGTGCAAAAGTAAGTTCTATCGTCCCTAAGCTTAGAACCAGGACTAAGAGGAAAGGATGGTAATTTTAGAACCAAGGTAAGTCCTGTTATCCCTTAGTTTAGAACTAGGACTAATAAGGCGTAGGGCAAACGTCGAATCTTAGTCGAATTTAATTCGTCGAACCTATTAATTTTGAAATAGGCGCATGAATGGTGCGACGTTTGCTGCAATTAAATTCGACTCAAATTAATTCTTTCGACTCTAGCAGAGGTTCGACTTGCCACGTCGGATAATGCGACAGTGGTTCAGCGTTTCAACAAACGCCGCTCTAAACACGGCCTCAACTCAATTCATAAATCATGCATATTACGAAATAATTGATTCAAATGTGATGGACTGGCAAACGTCACAAAAATACATACTCCTCCATCTGCCAAACTCTATTTCTCCCCCTGACGAGCATGTGCTGTACAAAGACAATTTCGGGAGCTGGAATGCATTCTCGCCCCTATGGGCCGCGCTCCTTTTGGTCAGCACCAAAAGGAGAGCGGCCTCTGGGGGCGAGAATGCCGGAAGAGAATGCCAAAAGTCTTTGCTGACATCGCACAGCGTGATGGGAATGTGTTGTTCCTGTTTCAATAACACTAAATATAAATGCTTGAGATGCGAATTGCCTACTTGCAGTAAATGCTCAGTGTTTGAAGAAAACGAGGACGTTGAGGGATAGACAGCCGGTTAAAGCGTTGAATACTGCGAAGCTTCTGACAAGGACCTAAAGAGAGCCGCGCCGGGTCTCCCGTTGTCTGAAGAGAAGAGTATCGGCATTTCGCCAGCAAGTCCTAGCAGTAACTAGTCGCGCATCGAGTGAATAGCACGGGGACACGTGCTTATTCCCGTGTTTTAATGAAGTGCAACTTGCCAAATAGGATCGACGTAGGTTCGACGCTTGCTATCACGCTGGAATTAAGTCGACTCTTTGGATTCGACGTTTGCCCTAGGCCTAAGAGGAAAGTAAGGTAATTTTACTGCAAAAGAAAGTTCTATTGTCCCCAAGCTTAGAACTAGGACTAAGAGGAAGGATGGTAATTTTAGTGCAAAAGTAAGTTGTATTGTCCGTTGGCGTATAGTAGAACCAGGACTAAGAGGAAAGGATGGTATTTCAAGTACAAACATAAGCTCCACTGTCCCTTAGTTTAGAATCAGGACTAAGAGGAAAGGATGGTAATTTAAGTGCAAACATAAGTTCCATTGTCCGTTAGTTTAGAACCAGGACTAAAAGGAAAGGATGGTAATTTTACTACAAAAGTAAGTTCCATTTTCCCTTAGTGTAGAACCAGGACTAAAAGGAAAGGATAGTACATTTAAGTTTAGTACAAAAGTAAGTTTTGTTGTCCCTTAGCTCAGACTGAAAGAGTAAGAGAAACCTTTTGCTTGCCTTGAACCCTGGCTTAGGGGAGCACAGTTGTACTAAAGTATAAAGTCCTGTTTATCTTAGTTAAGTAGCAGAGCTCCTTACTTTTGTTAGTTTAATTGTGTGACATAAAGTTAATTCATTAGGTTTGTTATTATCACGTACTGGGATATTTTGTATTTTTTGAGATTATAGTATTTAATTTGTCAAATTTTTGTCAGTGGTATCCAAGATATTGCGAACTCCACCAGAGAAATCAATCAGAGAAAAATGTCAAGAGCAAAAGATATATTTTGTAAGAGTATCTTAGCGACAGAAACGCAACGTTTTTGGCTTCCATCTTTTTTTTTTTCTGATTTAGAAGTAGTAGAAGTAAAGAGCACCTCAATGAACAAAAGTAGATAAATGTTTTTTTTTTTCTCGTTTAGCTTCTCGAAAAAGGGCGATCTCAAGAGTACGTTAGTAAAATAAAGTTGCTGAATTATTTTTATGTTTGATCGAGGGTGAGAAAGGATCTACTGGAGAGAAAGGAACACGTGGAGAAAAGGGACAGAAAGGAATGCCGGGAACATGTGACACGCAGGTAGAAACAGAAACCGCCATGTATAGAATGAATAAACTTTGTTCTGAGTGTAGGGTAAGGACAATTCTAAATGCTGTGCCGAAAATAACTCAATCAGAAGTAGTCTCCTTATAAATTCCTTCACAATATGCAAACAATTTACTGGGGAAATTTCATTTTGATTGCTGCAGACTTGTTAATGGCATTCAATGCCAATGACATTCTAATTTGCATCGTCGATGACATTCAAGAGTTTTATTCTCAATTCCTTCATAGCCTGAATTTTAGTCACCAAGGAAATTTCACTTTGATAAAATGCAGACTTGTCAATAACTAATATTTAACGCCCTTATCCTTTGCAGGGATCCTCCTCGTCTTCCAGTAGACCAGAATGTTGTGCAACTGGTAAGTAAAATTAAAGCCTGCCTTCAAGTGCCAACCGTTTTTCGACAATATAAAAGGAAAATCGAATTAAATGATTTTCAATTTTTGGATGTGGTTTCCAGTCAGATTTCACTTAAATACGCTCTTTGAAGTTTTGTTTTCTGATTATGTTGGATAATAAATTTATTATTTGCGGATCCGTTTCTTGATTGGTTCCTCACGCGCCTATTTGTCATGTAACCGGTGCGCGATGACATGTGTGCGGTGCAATCACAGGTGTCCAATTTCAACTTTTTGTAATTGGATACCAACGCTATTCGGGCGCACGTCAATTACGTGGCTTCCCTAACAGTTTTTACAACCTAGGGAAACCCTACTGTTTTTTTCGCTACTTTTTTAATCTGGAAGTTTGTCATTTATGCGATTTATTAGTAATCGGTTCTCGTTTCATACAATTAGCATAATAATTGGAGCGAGTGCGGTACAATTCAGGGAGTAATCGCGGGAGTAATTTCAAAATCGAACGAGCGTAAAGGGCGAGGCCAGGGCGCTTATATGTAGGGCGGTGAAACGAGCGGGTCCGAGCAAAAAGGTGTGATGCAGTAGACTGGGGTCTACTAAAACGAGCAGATTCCGCTTAC